ATGCGGGGCTTGATCCCAGGACCCTGGGATCATGACCTGAGCCGAAGGCAGACGCTTAACGACTGAGCCACCCAGGCGCCCCCATAGGACAATTTTAATCACAGCAGAGCCGACACGATACGTGTGTCCTCCAGGACATATGACAAAGATATCAGGTGGAAGACAGTTATGTAACATTTTGTGTGGATTCTTCCATCTGACTAAACAATAAACCAGACACATATGGGCTTGTCTGGGATATACTTGTTGTGTATATTTAGGAAGAGCTATTTAGGAAGAGTAACAAGAAACTTTTAGCAATGGTTGTCTCTGGGAAAGATGCATGTGGGGAATGGAAAGGGGTGACCTGAAGTCAGCCTTTCATTCTTTGGTAAAATGGTATTTCTTACCATGATAACAGAAAAGCGAAGCGAGGGCCCTGTGGCAGAGCAACCACGTATCTGAGCCCCTCATTCACAGCGTGGGACCTCTCCTGAGCGGGAGGCGCCAGCCCTTCGCAGCCCTGGGTGGCTGTGTTCTCACCCTGGCGATGTGAGGAGCAGGTGGGCTTTGGCCACAAGCAGAACAAAGAAGGACCTGAGGCCTCACAGCCATGAGCCAGAAGGAGCCTACACCCCCTGAGAAGCATCTGCTAGCCAGGCAGGCAGACCCACCTAGACCGTGGGTGACAAAGAAACCACAACTGAATTAAGCCACTGAAGTTGTGGTGTCTATCACAGTGGCCGGTGAGCCTTAACTGCTATATGCCCAGTGTTTCCAAACCTTGGAAATTTCTAAAAAGGACGACAAGAAACCAGTGAGTCTCATTTACTTAATCTCCCTTTCTTTTCCTCACTTCAAATAAGGCTTACCGAGAGCTGCCGAGAATGAACATCCTCTTACCACTTATTCACGTAGAACTAGCCACAAGAACAAGCCACTTACCAAGACGAGTCCACCGAACGTCAGTATCGTGGGACCAATGTTAATTAAGGTGGTCACGATAAGCCGGAATCTAAGATGAAACAAAGTTTCTAGCACAAGACGGCAGAAGGGAAGCCATGAGCTAAAACTGACACCACACCAGCAGGTTTGGTTTCATATCCCTTCCCCCGGGGCCTGGACCTGTTCTTTACACACCGTCAGGAATTTGCCCTTTTAGCTGTGCACCCCTGGGGAGTCACTCAACCTCTCTGAGCTTCACTGTCATCACCAGTGAACAAAGGATAATAAAGGCCCCTATATCAAGGGTGGCAGGAGGAATTTCACAGGACAACGGTTGGCACACTCGGGAGCATCCGTGGCCCCCACGGCCACCGCTATGCGGCCACGCACAGCATGCATGGTGAGGGAAGGGGCCACGGGCACTAAAGCGATGGACAGAACCCCTGCCCTCGGGGAGCTGCCATCTGAGTGCTCTTCCCTCCCCACCCCCCCCCCCCACCCGGAGGGAGCGTCGGGTCCTCCATGCGAGGTACATTTGGGGCTCCCAATGGGATGTGTTGACCGATCTGAGGTAGGAGTGGTTTCTGGCAGGTTCCAGCGGGGGAACCACCCGAGGGCACGTCACTCGCTCTTTACCTCTGAATGCTGACAATGATCCGTAAGAGCCGGAGGATCCTCAATATCAAGACGATATCCAGTATCTGCTGACTGTTGTATTTTCTTGCTACAAAGAGAAAGCACAATCATTTAACATTCTGTTTTGTGAGTGCCTCTGGCTTGTCCCTTCTGTTCAGTGAGGTCTGAGACTCTGTGGGTTCAGGGCGAGATGCGGCTTCACTTCCAGGGCACAGTAGCTCCGGGCAGTGAGGAGGTAAGTGCTGCCTTGAACGGCTCACCCCCCAGCAAAGCCGAGCCACGCCAGGCCTTCCCTCCCAGCCCTGAGCTAGAGAATCCTGAGAGTCGGTGTAGACTTCAGGCCGTCTTTAATGACTGTGGATCAGGTTCTACAGAACACATTTCTACAAGCCCTTCCTTCCCCAACATTCCTTTCCTAGAGGCCTGTTAAGAAGCTGCACTACGTCTAAACAACGCCTCCTGCTGTCCACAGGAAGGAGTGTGCGTGGTGGTGGTGGGAGGCGCGGGTGCAGCCCGGGGAGGCCGACACAAGAGGGCAGTGGACCAGGGACAATGCAAACCAACTGCGGCTGGACCTCCGGGGGGCGGGCAAGACGGGCAGGGGGTCAAAGGCATGGAGGTTAAGCCATGAGACTGAGGGCAGTTTTGGAGAGGAGACGACCAGGTCAGTGTCTGCTGTGACGGATGCGTACAAATGCAATCTCTAATACACAGCTAAACACAAACAAAGCTACCAGCCCTTTCCAGGACATGGAACACTTCTACTAATTCTCTTGTGTCTCCATTGCCCCATCCCAAACGCCTTACTGGTGCACAAGTTCAACAAAGACTACACATACACATTGAATGCATGATCCCAGGAGGTGGCGAAGCCGAGAGCCCATGGCACTGACCTGACTGAATGGTGGTGTTGGCCACGGTGGCCACCAGGGCCGCCATGATGATCAGTGTGTCAAACCTAACAGAGCAGAAGCAAAGTTGGTGAAGGATACAACTGATCCTGAGAAAACTTCGAATCCAGTATCTTATGCAAAGCAATGAACCAACCATGAAACTGATTTCTGTAACTTTTAGAACAACGGAGACGAAGCAAGAAACACTACGTTTGAATGATCCAGTGATCATTCCCTGGCTGCTCCAGTGAACCACCCAAGGGAATCTGTAGCAATCAGCCAATTCTTATCACTTTGTCTTCCAAAATAACTGTATCCTTGCAAGAGTACTTTGGCACATTTTTCAGAATATACAATATAATCTCTCTTGGCATTAATTTTACTAAGTCCATTGTAACTTTTTAATTAAAGGGGGTAAAATCCATCATAGCGTTACTTTTCTTTCTGCCAAAGCACTGGACAAGACTAGCTAGTTCCCCTTTGGCCACATGCGCATCCTAGGGAGTTTCCTGGCACTGAGAGCAGCGATCACAGAGATCCAACCCTGGCAAGCTGCGCACTACGTAAGACAGGTGTGTGTGTGCCCTGTCTTTGCGTCCTGCACTGAGGTGGTCGGTCTGCAGCACGGGGGTGATGGTTCGAGACCAGGAGGTACCTAGCCTGGAGAAGAAAGAGGCCACAGGTGACACATCCGTGTAGGAAAGAGCTTGTTAACGATCTCATCATCCAAGCATACACATTCCAAGTTCTCTGATAAAAAAACTAGGGAGTGGGCCAAGGGAGCTACGGAAGGGCCTCATTGGGTATGATATTCCAAGATCCTTTCCAAACCCAGGATGCCACGATCTGTGATTCTAATTTTAGCTAGAGTCAGTTCAAACTGACATCATAAAATAACAGCGTCGTCGGACCCATATTTTCCCACACCCCCAAGATTTCATGATAAGATGCCCCAAAACCAGGCAGCTGGAGCTTGGGAAAACTCCAAGGAGATTCCCCAAACTGACAGAAACCTCCCCCCGCACTTTGCCCACGGCCTCTGCCCCACCCCCTCCCCAGGACACACATGCTCACCAGTTCCAGAACTGTTTCTTGCCAAAATAGGCTCTGGGCTCGTATGTGTACAGTTTCAGGAGAATTTCAATAATATAGAGAGAAAGGAAAAGCCACTCTGCATAGGAAATGAAGGGGTTTTTCTCATCCAGAGCGATGAATATGGCATTTATTAGAATGATGACATCATAAACCCAGACAAAAATCCTGCCGTGAGGGAAAAAGGAAGAGATCCTGTCATCCCACGTTTTAGTGAAAGGAGCACATTCAGAGCCTTTTAGGGGGTACTCTGTTCCCGACGATGTGATGACTATGAGATGCCCCCCAACCCCCATCCCGCCAACATGCACACACACATGCACACTCGTGACTCAAGTAAGTAAACGTTCCAGCATGACCAGGGTCCTGAAATTCACCTGCCTCCCCCTGATACTGGCTCAATCCTTTCGGCCAAGGAGAAAACGAAGACTCAGCGACCAGGGGGTGGGGGTGGGGAATAGAGGCATGGTTTTCCCAGGTCCCCCTCTGGGGGCACAGTACCTGGATCAGATGAAAGCTTAGGCAGAAACGGGGCAAGGAGAAGGTTTAGGGCTTAGCATGGGATCATGACATCTCTAGGACTTGTCCCTAGAAAATTAACATCCTTAACTAAGAAAGCTTCTGAAAACCTCTTCACCCCTAATGCACACAAGCCTTCCAGGGGACTGACATGTCCATCTTCCTCACCGAGTCTGGGGTGGACTGTATCAGAGCTGGGCTCTGAGGCAACTTTGCAATTACTGAGCAGGCTGCTCTGCTCAGGTACCTGTCCCCTGTGCTCCAGAGAACCCCGGCTGAACTCTGGGCCTGGCCTCGGGAAGACAGGAGGGGCTCCTACCCCACTGTTCTCTGTGAGGCTGTAGACTAGGACCCTGGATGCCCCGTGCAGACACACAAACTCCAGCACATGAAACACATCAGTAATTCAAGGCTAGGATTAATGGGAAGAAGCCTCTACATAAAGGGCTTTGATAAATACCAAATACGGGCAGCTAATACGGTGTGCCCACATCACAGGCTGAGCCACTTTCCGGGACTTCTGAACTATTCTCTTCTATGAAACACTAAATTCAAGGACAGCAAGAGGATGAGCCACTAATGACGGGGGCACTCCAGGCCACACATATGAAACCTAAGATCTCCAACCAGAATAAATGATTCTTTCTGGAGTCCACTTACTTGAGAATAAGAGAATTAATTGGCCTTCTCAACAACCATTCTGATAACTCAAATTCATGAGTTTACCACAGACTTTACAAAGTCAGAGTGCCGTATGTGAAACCAACTTCCTAATGACTTAGATGGGGCTGGAACCTTCTGATTTCAGAAAGCAGTCAGCTTCTCTGGCTCAGACAGCACATCCAATCTGTGGCCCTTGAGCATCTTAGGATATAGGGCAGAAGGAAGCATAATCGAGAAGCCTGTCCTTTTGGTTAAGGTCACACATAGCACGTCCAGAAACCTTTTACAAGCCTCCCTATGAAACCAAAAGCAGCAAGCAAGGAGCTGATTTATAGCTTCAGTAATGAAATATATTCAGTCCAGACAGCATTTGCAAACTCCTCTATTTTTAAAGCAACTTGAGAAAAAACTGGCCCCATCTCACTTGCCTGTGCCGAACCATCCTCTGGACCAAGAGGCTTGCAGACGACTGGTATACCCGGGGCATCCACTCCTCCAGCGGGTGTCTCTTGATGTTGATGGTGACCACCTGAATGTTGAGGAGGTCAGCCAAGCGTAGAAAGTTCATTTTGTCTGCAATGTAAAAAAAATTGATCCCAAATACACGGCCACTGTGACACTAAGGTTCAAAGGGTGATGCCAAGTCAGCGCAGACTCTTGTTTCTGCATTTCCTAGGTGAAGATCTGAAGCTTCAAAGGGTGAAGGCCCAAGGTCAAGGAGCCAGAAAGTGGCAGAGCCCCCCACCTGTCCTCACTAGACCTGCAGCCGACCCAAGGCGGCCAACCCTAGCATGTGATTTTGCTAGTTCACAGAGGTCACTCCCTCACCCCCTGCCTTCCACCCACCTTCCTCCTCACATGGGCTATCCCTGCTTTCAGTGTCTGCCTAAGTTACCTTTCCAGCCTCAACTCCACCTCTTCACCAAGCCTCCAAGGTAGGTGTAATCCACACCCTTCCCCTCAATCCCCTCTCCTCTTCTCTGCCCACCCTCTCTCCCCGCCCCTTCTCAGAGATTCACTCAAACCCACAGTTTCCACAGCAAGTTGGCCACCAGCCAGGCCAAAGTTCACTGGGCGCTTTCTTGACCAGCCTGGCCCCATGTGACTACTGAGCTGGTGTTCTCCAGACCCACCGAATGCCCAGGGTCACTACCCCACACACCTCTCCCCAACCAGACAGGTCAGATGCTGTCCATGAGTCCACTTCCTGCTCTGTACAACTTAAAGAATTTCACCTCAAGGGATGAAATCAGAATGTGTAAAGAATATTGCTGCTTCCTAGAAAGTTCTTCTTACAACTTCTCTCCCAAGTTTCCTTGAAAACTAAGTTGAAGTTTAGAAACTTTAAATAAGTTTGGAAAATTTAAAGAAAGCTGTTGAAAGAAATCATGGGGATGCTTAGGTGGCTCAGTCAGTTAAGCATCTGCCTTCAGCTCGGGTCGTGATCTCAGGGTCCTGGGATCGAGCCCCGCATCGGGCTCCCTGCTCACAGGGAGCCTGCTTCTCCCTCTGCCTGCAGCACCCTCTGCTTGTGCTCTCTCTCTCTCTCAAATAAATAAATAAAATCTTAGAAAGAAAGAAAGAAAGAAAGAAAGAAAGAAAGAAAGAAAGAAAGAAAGAAAGAAATGAAAAGAAAGAAAGAAAGAAAAAGAAAAAGAGAAAGAAAGAAAAGAAAGAAAAAGAGAAAGAAAGAAAAGAAAGAAACCGCCAGTGCAAATCGGGTCTAGCTGAGACAATGGGCAAAGGTTGGGTTGGGCATTTTTACATCCTGGAAGGCTTCCCATTCAGAGGGCCTGGCGGATATCCATGGCTCCATTCCAGTTTTCCGGAGCAAACAATGAATGATGGCTCTATAGCTTCCACCACAACATGGACTCTTCGAGAAAGATGATGCAGAACGGCCATCGACAGATGCCCAGGCAAAGAACAAGCCTCAGCCCTGGCAGAGGTGTGGCCTCATCCGAGGGAGGAGCCTGAATCAGACACAGCCTTGGGTGATGTCACACACTCAAGTTACTATTTTCCCTAACAGTTGTAACAGTCCTAAAAACATGAAAGAACATGAGTCCATCAAGTTAGATGAAAAAAACACACATAGGTATCTTAGAACATCCAAGTTCCTGGGTCTTCGGAGTTAGAAGGAAAATAAACATACATGTCTTAACAGCCAAAGGCATGTAACACCCACTCAGGTGCAAGTGCAGCCTTGGAGAATTAGGGGACAGGGGAACTGGGATCCAGGGGCCTGGGCTGCACGAACTCCACCATCAGCGGTTAGGGAGACAATGACATGACAAGCATGGGTAGGATTTGGGTGACCTACTGACAGGAATCCAGCCAAAACTTCACTCATTAAACATCCTAAACCAAAAGGGAATCTATTAGTCTCACTGGGTTCATATCTTTTCATCCAGAAGATTCAATAGAACAAGAAAAAACAAAGAGAATCAAAAACACAGTAATTCTGTGTTAAGAAGGAACTTTTACCCATCTGATATTCTATGTTGAAGATCAGAGGTCAGCTAACTTTTTCTATAAAGGGCCAGATAGTAAATATGTTAGGCTTTGTAGGCCATATGACCTCAATTTTAACTACTCAGTTCTGCTGGTATAGCGTGAAAGCAGCCACAAATAATACATGAATGAGCATGGCTGTGTTCCAGTAAAACTTTATTCCATAGGCCATGTTTAGCCTGTGGACCATAACCTGCCAACCCTTGTTGTAGATACATTACTTGCTTCATATTCTCTTTGTTAATTGTTCTATTCAGCCCTTTTCTTCCCATACTGGTAAGTTTGTGTTTCTCAGTTTAACACTGGATTAAGTTTTAACACTTTGGGTACTAACAGAATTCCAGTGTTTAGCCTTGGAAACCACAAATGCTCATAACTGCTGATCAGAGGGAAAAGTGAGAATATTCACAGAAGGATTGCCATCCCTTTCCTGTCCAGAGTGGAGGCCGCCATGAAGCATGTAACTCTGCTCAACTTTCTGTTATTAAAACTGTCTTTGAAACTGTTAGTTGAACAAAGGAGTCTTTTGGACACCCAGACATTAGAAATTACTGCTATCTCCCATAAAATATAACCTATGGTCCCTGAAAGCAGACAAATTTCACTGGCTGTCTTGCATAAAGATGTGGTTTCCCTGGTAACAGTTTTTTAAATCAACAGTGCTATCTGGCAAAAAGTAAAATACTGGGAAGTCTATTGAGCCATAAGCTCACTGACACTTTTCAAATGATTTTCTCCTTTTTTTTTTAATATTTTATTTATTTATTTGACAGAGAGACACAGCCAGAGAGGGAACACAAGCAGGGGGAGTGGAGGAGGGAGAAGCAGGCCTCCCACCAAGCAGGGAGCCCGATATGGGGCCCAATCCCAGGACCCTGGGATCACGA